GGTCAAAACCGATAGTCTCTTTCTTATAGATTTTATAGGGTCAATTGAAATAATAGTTTAAATAGGCAAATAGACTCCAAATTTATAATTCTATATGTTAAAAGAAAGAAGTATGAGTCTATTTTCGGATAAATTTAGTTTTGTATAAATCAAAAATCGAGGCAGAAAGTTATGGGTAGAATAATATAGAAAGGTCAAATCTTCAAAAAAATTTAGATTCACAGTTTTGTTCCCAAATGAAAGAAATATCATGTATGAAGTCAAAATCTTTCAAAATTTTCAAGATTAAGATGAAATTAGAGATCAAGGGTTCTGTAGAAAGGGGTTAGAATACTTGCCTTAAACAAATTTGAGTCTTAAAGGTGTGGAATTGATGCAAAATCTCAAGCCAAGGCAAAGCTTTTTCTTCCTCTACTTCAATTCATCTTCCTTCTCTTCTCAAACTTACACTGCAACATCTTAAGTTTACATTTAGTTTCTCCTTTAAAACATTTGATTTGGCTAATATAAGAATTTTAAGGTGGCAAACATGCATGAAAAAGCCTGTGTCATTCTTAGAACAAACATAGGTGACACCCTTCTTAGGTTAACTAGTGACATTTGTCCTACATTTTTTTATTAAAACTTAATATGAATATTTTATAAATCATATCTAATTTTTAATATTTATATTTCGATTCCTATATTACAAATAAGACCTTACCAAATTATCAAAAATGAGGGGTGTTACACTCTCCCCTCTTTGAAAAAAAATTTTAATCATCTAAATTTGTCATACCTCCTTCGACGAAAAAATGATATCAAGATTGCACCTGGATAGAGGCTATCAATGTCATTGAGTCTTGCTATTCCCAAATAACATTCAAATTAAAATTTTCTTCTAATAACTTCCATTGTTCTGCTAGTATTGAACTAGTCTTACTATGCTTCAATTATACCACTCTAATTTGATATCCCCGATCAACCCTTTCATCTCACTTAATTAATCAAAGGTCCTCATCATTATAAATTCCTGAAATGCATCGAAGAAAATTTCTATTGATATCTATAGTTCACTATACCTCAATATATTTTGCACATCAAACATATCAAATATCTCAGAGATCCTCAAACCATGCGTTGATACCACTCTGTCATGTCACAACAATAATCAATTCCAGGAGCCAATCATACATTTGAGGATACTGAGAAAACGTTCAAGTCATTCATAACCATGATTCTATAATTTATAAAACCTGTGCAATTTAAATTCATATAGCACATCACTCGATGAATCATAAAATTTAAAACCAACTCACCAAGACAAGAACCACCTCATAAATCCACAAGTATGAGATTTTATACAATCACACAAACCAATATTTACCACATGTTTATATCATTATAAAATTAACTTAACACTCCAAAATACTAACATTAGAGATCCTTTAAACTTTTAAAAACTCATAAGTTTATATTTACCATCAACATTCCATTAGACACTAAGTGTACTTATACAACAAAAACATATCATCCACTAAAGGATTACCCAAAGTCTTCTAACTTTCCACAGCCTCAGCCCAATTTAAACATTTTAGTGAGCGACAAACTATCCTGAAAAATTTATATAGCAATGGGGTGAGCATATAGAGTTCAGCAAGCGACTAACATATCTATGATGAAAGATGATAGTTTCAAACAAGTAAGGTACCAAATACAAGGTAAGGATATAAGAGTTTATAGATAGCCATCTATCAATTGCATAATTATGATGTCATTTCATTTGAAGCATGTTTTATTCATAACTATTGAGTAGAGATTAGTTAGAGCAAATCATTGATGTAAGGAGCACTTCGAGGCATATCAATGACGTACGAAATATTACGAAGCATATCAATTGCATATGAAGCATTTCGAAGCATATCAAGGGCATTTAAAATGTTTTAAAATATATCAATGACATATAAAATATTTCAGAACATATCAATGACAGATGAAACATTTCGAAGCATATCAATGACGGATAAAATATTTCGGAACATATTAATGGCTTATGAAATATTTTGGAGCATATCAATAACAAATGAAACATTTCGAAGTATATCAATAATATAGGAAGCATTTCGGAGCATATTAATAGCATGAGAAGCATTTCAAAGCATATTAATAGTGTATGAAATGTTTTAGAAGAATAAGAAACATTTCGGTATATATCAAAGAACAAATACGAAACAGAAGCTCAAACGTCGCATATGATGTTGCACACATTTCATTCTTATCCAGAGCACATAACCAAATATCTAGACATCATGTCAAACACATAGATGGTGAAGTGGAATCATAACATTATATGATTCATTCATTTCTAAATGACCACCAAACATAATCTAGAGCATCATGGGCTCTAAGCACATACTCTTTATCATTTCTAGCGAAGGTCTAAATAATCATTTTACCATTTCTGGCAAAGTATCATATTATCCCATAAATACTAAAGTATAAAAGGATATTGTGAATAATTAATTGGGACATATCGGAAACACATGCAAAATAATAAACTGCATGTGCTTATACGAAACATTACAATACAAACATTAACTTTACATAATAGATTCAGATGTAAAAATAATTAAAAGACAATAGTATACATGGATCCAAAACAGTAATGTAAAGCTCAACTAATGTAAGGATGTTGGCTGAAATCAATTTCCAAAGAGAAAACAAGAATATATGGAATCCATCAAAGCTCGATTCTGATAAAATTTGAGAGGCACATTGCATGAATTATTTGGATTACCAATTATGCTTCAATTTATACAAATTTGATATCATTCGAAAGTTGTATTAATCTAGATTTAGATAAATTAAGTTTTGTATGAATTGAAGATTCTAACATTGAGTTATCAACAGTTTAGTAACCAAAGGTCAGAGAATATTATCTTTGTTTTATACAATTGATAGAGTTTGTTTGAATAGATGTTTCAATAGACATTTATGCTCTAAATCATTTAAATTAGATATATACAGAAAGATCTATTCAGATATACACATAAAGATATGAGTCTAGTTTATGATAAATCATATTTTGCATATATCAGAGTTTTTAACAATGTTATAATTAACATAGTACTGAAAGGTCAAAACTGATAGTCTCTATCTTACAAATTTCATAGGGTTAATTAAAACAATAGTTTGGATAGGAAAATAGACTCCAAATTTACCATTTTAGATGTCAAAAAATTAGTTTTGCTTGAATCCAAAATCGATGCATAAAGTTATGGCTAGAACAATATAGAAAAGTCAAATCTTTGAAAAATTCCAGATTCACAGTTTTGTTCCTAAACAAAATAAATATCTTATATAAAGCTAATATCTTCCAAAATTTTCAAGATTAAGATGAAATCAGAGATCAAGAATTCTATAAGAAGGGGTTAGAATACTTATCTTAAACAAATTTGAGCCTCAGAAGTGTGGAATTGATACAAAATCTAAAGCCATGGCAAAAGCTGTAGCATCTTAAGTTTATATTTAGTTTCTCCTTTAAAGCATTTGATTTGGCTAATATAAGGATTTCAATATGGCAAGCATGTATGAAAGAAGCCTATGTGTCATTCTTAAAATAAACATAGGTGACACCCTTCTTGGGTTAGCTAGTGACACATGTTCTACATTTTTTTTTTGTTAAAGCTTAATATGAATCTTTTATAAATCATATCTAATTTTTAATATTTATATTTAGGTCTCGACATTACAAATAAGACTTTACAAAATTTTCAAAAATGAAGGGTGTTACACTATAGCCCCTGGACATCCAATGACAACACGCTCCAAAAATGGTATCGTTAAACTACGATAAATCTTTGACTTACATGTTATCACAAAATGCTCGTTAGAGAATAATGAATCTACCATAATTAATCAAGCCCAAAAATCTCCATACTAGCGTAAAACCATGTGTGAAGATATGATGCCCACCTCCATAATTCTACATGGACCCTTGTACCCTCTCATCTCACACAAAATATCATCGGGTGTAAGTGGGTCTTTCGAATTAAGCGAAACCCAAATAGATCTATTGCCAGATATAAAGCATATCTAGTGACTAAAGGGTTTCATCAATGTTCTGGTATTGACTTTACGGAGACATTTAGTCCCGTTGTTAAACCCACAACTATCTGACTTATTTTGAGTTTGGCCATCTCAAAATGCTGGCATTTACGACAACTCGATATTAACAATGTCTTTTTACATAAGACGCTAACTGATGATGTCTTCGTGCAGCAACCTCTTGGCTTCATCCACCCTCAGTATTCAATGCATGTTTGTAAACTACAAAAAGCTATTTATGGACTTCGTCAAACTCCAAGAGCTTGGTACACTAAACTTGGCTCATTTTTTATATCAATTGGCTTCATCAACTCCAAGTTTGATACCTCACTATTTCTCCGTCATCAAAGTGGTAATACAATTTATCTCCTGGTATATGTGGATGCTATTATTATCATGGGCAATAATCCTATGGAAATCAAGGCATTCCTCAAGCATTTATCATATTGATTCTCTCTTAAAGATCTAGGAACCTTGAACTACTTTTTGGGAGTGAAAGCAACATACATATCTTCAGGACTCTTCCTATCATAAAGAAAGTATATTTAAGATCTATTATCAATTATGAACATGCAAGATGTAAAAGCAATTACAACCCCTCTGTCTACTGGCGAGTCACTCAAACTATGTAATGAAAGCCCTGCTACAGACCCAACTCAATACCGCCAAGTACTTGGCTTCTTACAGTAGTTATCTCTCACCCACCCGGATATCTTATTTGTAGTTAATAAATTATCACAATTCATGCATCGGTCGTCGCATTGGTCTGCAATTAAACGAATCTTACGATATCTTCATGGGACCCTCAATCATGGTCTCTTTTTTCACAAACACTCCCCCCTTCATCTCCATGCCTTTGTTGATGCTGATTGGATAGGAAACTTTGATGATAGAATATCCACATCGGGGTATATTATCTTTTTTGGAGATAATCTAATCAGTTGGAGTTCTAAGAAGTAAAAGATAATTGCACGATCTACAATTAAAGCTGAATACCGTGCTATTGCAACTGTTACTACAAAACTCAATTGGGTTATAAATCTACTCAAAGAATTTGACATCAACTCCACCTCTACTCCTATAATATATTGTGATAATGTTAGCGCCACGTACCTATGCGCCAATCCAGTATTACACTCACACATGAAACATATAACTATCGACTTTCACTTCGTACGAGAACAAGTTGTCAGATATCAACTACGTGTTTCTCACGTACATACAGTTGATCAACTATCAAACTCACTCACGAAGCCTCTGACCCGCAAACTATTTTCATCGCATCGGTCTAAGATCGACATCCTTGACAGGAGCACTATCTTACGGGAGCATGATAACAACTAAGATTTTCAAAGATAACAGTTGAGATTTCTCCAACTATATGAGGAAATATTGCTACTCTGTTGAGGAAAATCCTACTCTTTATGTATATAAATAGAGAGCACCATATCAAACACATATCATTTTTGTTTTATTCATATTCTTAATAGAATTGCCCTATGTTGAGCCGGTGTGGGCGGTGTTGGTGGACACATCAATGAAGGTGTTGACTTGATGGAATAGAAGGGGTGCCATAGCAGCAGTGAGGGCTGCAAGATTAGAGATGCTTTAGTCGAGGAGAAAGTGGCTATAGCTATGATACCATGTTAGACATAAAATACGAAGAAGATTGTTTTCAAGTTTGATACGAGGCTCCCTATTTATACACATTAGGAGGGAAGATTTTTCTCAACAGAACTCCGATATTTCCTCATGTAGTTAAGAAAATATTGGCTATTATCAAGGCTATTATGAAGAAAAATCTTAACTGCTATGGCCAATGTCTTTGAGTGTACATCAATCAAATATTGCATGTAGGAATGAGAAAATGTCTAAATCAATGTACATGCACCTTAATTAAGTAGCAACCAACGGATGAAGGACAGTTAGGGCTGTGAAATTAGATGTAATGCCAACTTGTGTTACCTGTTGGTGTCTCACTTTGGCCATTCGAATTAATCGTCTATGCTTCCATCTCGGCAGTCGGGACACACAGCTGTTGAAGAAATCAGAAAACCGGAAGCAATAAGTTTCTTCTTTGATGTATTTTACCTTTTTAAGTGAAGTGAAAATGAAAATTCACAATATTTCTGCGGATGAGAATGCTTAAAACAAAGCCTCTGCAGAGGTAGCTAATGGCATTTGTAGATCACTTTAAAGGGCATGCAATAAAAGGTAGTACCTGTGGCGGCCGTCTTATCCACCTGAAGAGTAGGGCGGAGGCTCGCTAGATCTGCGGAAGTAGGTTCATTCGTTATATTGTTTCCTCCCAAACCAATAAATGCCAGTTGTGGCGATAGATCGGTTATGGGGATCGGCAGTTCCCCCTCCAGCTTGTTGTGTGACAGGTCCAAGGTGTGAAGGTGTTTGCAGTTGGCTAAGGAAGCGAAGAACTCCCAGTCCTCCTTTGTCTTGGCTTCCAAGCTGTTATCTCGTACGCTCAGGGATTGCAGATGCACTAGGTTGCCTATATCCCCAGGCACAGGTCCACTAAATCTGTTGTGTGCCAAAACAATCTCTCTAAGCATGCCAGCATGCGGAAGCGAGGCCGGAAGATGACCCTCAAAATTGTTGTTGTTTGCTTGAAGGACTTGGAGATGGCCAAGCGTGTCGCCCATATCGGAAGGGAATGAACCCGAGAATTGGTTATGCCCCAGGTACAAGTGGGTGAGGGTCGAGAGGTGGAAGATGGAGGTCGGGATTGCACCTGTAAGGTTGTTGCGTGTCACGGACAAGTGCTGTAGCGCAGGGAGACTTGCTAGGCTGGAGGGCAGGGTGCCCGTCAGTCGATTTTCACCAAGATCCAAGTGCGTGAGCGACGAGAGATCGCCCAGGGAAGGAGGGATTCTCCCGGCGAGATTGTTGTCATGGAGACTAAGGATCACGAGCTTGTGGAGTGCACCCATCTTCGCCGGGATTTCCCCAGTCAGCCTGTTCGAACCTAGAAGGAGCGACTCGAGGTAGACCAGATTACTGAACTCCGGCGGGAGTTTGCCTTGCAGGTGGTTGTGGGAGAGGTTGAGGAACTGAAGGTTGGTCAGGTTGCCGATTGCAGGAGATATGGAGCCTGAGAGGCCAAGCTCGGATAGGTCAAGGACGGTCACCCTGCCGGGACCGTCGCATGATACCCCTCGCCACTGGCAGTAGTCGTCGTCGCCGCCCCACGAGGACAAGACATTGAAAGGGTCCAAACGATCGCGGACGGAGAGGAGAGCGGCGCGGTGGGTCGTTGCACCGGTGACGGGAGCAGCTAGCCCCGAGAAAAGGTTTGCTAGGAGGAGGAGGAGGAGTGGAAAGGCGGTGCACATTTGGCGCAAGGACAACATCGGAACGGAGGAGAAGGGGGAGGAGGCGAAGGAGAAGAAAGAAGCGGCCTGAATAGACGAAGAGACGGAAGAGAGGGGTGGTGATCTTTAGGGCTTACGTCGTGAGTGGATCGATCC